GTCCTCGCACCGAGCGTGCCACTCGTCGAAGGAAGACCGCGGAACAGCCTCCAGCGCATCCTGGAGGTCGTGCTCAGACACTTTCTGATCAAAAGGGGTACCTTCGATGACACGAGAGAGGGCCTCAAAATTTGCGAAATCTCCTGTGCGCGGTAGGATGATTCCCATCGGCTGCGACCGGTAATAGTTGACAAGAAGCTCTCCAAGCGACCTGTAGCGCTGCCCCAAGGCGTCTTCCCGCAATTCTGCAAGGCGCCTGCGCTGTGCGTTCTGCATGAGCTCGACAAGTTCGTCTTTTATCGCAAGCCAGCCTGGGCAGCGCGAGATCAGTGGGGCACGTAGCATGATGCACAGAACATTACTCACGTTTCTCAGTCAAGGGCTCCGCGATCCTGACCTTCCTGTGCTGCCCAAGCGGGTTGTGATACAATTTGCCGAACTCGTCCCCCCACCCAAGGTCAATCAAGCGCTGTTGGATGCTGCGGAGGCCGTAAGAATAAGCGTAACCCGCTACTGCGTTCGACTTACGCCTCCTCGCGAAGGTTGCGCATACGCTCCATGTCTTTCTCCTTATCCTCCCGACGATCTTGCTCCCATTTCTCACACAATGCGGCATGCTACGGAGGCTGGGTTAGTCATCGTTGTTCCACTCCATCGAGCACTGCATCACCTTCTTGATATTATCCAAACGCTGTTCCTTGTCGTTCCAATAGTCTTGCAGGAATTGCTGATCTCCCTTGATCATTTGCGGCCGATTCAGATCCGCCATAAGTTCCTTGCATGCTACGGCGGAGAACCACCGGTAGAGCCAGGTTCGGTCCCGGCCTGTCAAAAATCGAGATTAGATTCGACAGATATGTTCGTGGAGGCAACATACGTTTCTCTTTTATCGTCACATAGGGGACGACGCGCCTCATCTCATCCTGGTCCGGAAGGATGTGGCGAAGACGAGAAAAGGTGTCCGGCATATTCGAGTAGGGAAAGAATCTGTAACGTTGAGATCCTAGATATTGGACGAAAGCGCGTAACTCACTTCTTCGAAAAACATTTCCTGCAATACACGACCCGTGCGAGCCACGCAATCTTGACCGCGATTGAGCTACCGCAGTACTTCACAAGAACTGTTAGCAAAAGGAACACGTGCAGAGAGATCAACCTCACGTCGCAGTGCTTTCCGCAAACGAGTGCTACATACTGCGGCTCATTCATGTCGTCGGGAATCGATGGAAGACCTTTCACTTTCGCCAGGATGCGCCGCCAAACTGGCGACGCAGAACGGTTCATGAGCAACGCTCGCCATGCCTTTGTCAAACGTGACAGGTTGAGGAGATCTTCCGGATCCACGTATGCGAAGATCTGTGAGCGCCGGCACCAGAAACGACCGACTATTCAGTGAATGTCGACCGATATATACATCAGTACGCACCTCGAACAGAATGTCCAAAGGCATTTCAGCTATGTTGGCCAGCTTTCCTTGGAGCCCTTTGACGAAGTGTGGCGTTGAACTTGATCCTTCCACGCGCTTGTGCCGCTTGCGAGACTGCGACTCGCTCAACGGCTTGCCATTCGTGGGTTGCACGGGATCGGCACGCTTTGATTGGTATGCGGCTGCAATTCTGGAAGATCGTCTCATGGTGGAGGACAAAGGTGATTCGAGCTCTCATTGTAGTCACACGCGGCGGCACCGAAACAGAACACGTGGGTCTCCGGCCGGCATTTCGGGATATCAGGTGATCGAGAACGTTGACGCGTGCATCGTGCTCTTGCTCTTGCCCATGAACCAGTTTAACACTCAGGCGACATGCGGAGATCTCTCCGGATTGCCTCTGTGAATGGAATACGCAAGACGGCAGCAGACGACGACGGCGACCAATCTTTCGAGCTCTCCGGCGGCGAGTCCGCCGATGAGTTCGCCCGGAGGCCCGCACGAAAGCGCCGAAAGGCCAAGGCCAACACTGCCGATGAAAGGCAAGAGAAACGAGGGAAGCCTTCTAGGCAACGTGTGCGTGGTCGGTTGGCTGCTCTGCCGGAAATGCCGCTCGACATCCTTTACGAGGTGCGGCGACCGGTCGTGTGTCGACCAGATGTCGACGCGTCGTGATGCACATGCGCTGACTATATACGCGGCAGATATTCCGAAATATGCACCCTCGCGACCTCCTCCAGGCCTCTCGGACGACGAAAACGCTCCGCTCTGTGCTCATGAGCAAATCGTCCATTTGGATATGGAAAGACAGCCACGCCGCATCCGATCTACCACCTGTACCTCCAGGGATGACGGTTCCCCAATTTGTCGGCCTGGCCTACGATAGGTTCTGCCATGTGCGTACGGCTTTTCTCTACCTTCGACACAGGTCTCAGTCTATTGCTCTAGTTTTGCTCCGCGCCGAGCGTCAACAGCATCATTTGGATTGCGCGAGTTCGATGTTGTAGGAAATGCATGCTTAACGAGTCAGTCATGGTGTCCTACTGTCAGGTGTGGTGGCCCCGATCTCATCCCTTACTCAGAGCGAACTTCACGCCAAAAGACAGCCTCAGATATTCCAGCAACAACATCATATTACAGTTAATGAGCGTATGTAGCCCTACGAGCTCATTTTTCATGATTTTCCCTTCCTTCGAGATCTCAGGTAAGTGATACCTTGCTTACCACCGGCGATAACCTGAAAGAACTCAGACAGACGTTACTACAAAACAGTGGTTCCAATCGCATCTGTGCTGGATTTGTACGCCGATTACGAGCGGGACGGTGTTCGATATCAGAGCGAGGAGGAAATGAGTCAGTGGATCGCGAAGAGAAAGGCTCAAGTCAAAGCGAGCAACGAGGTACGTTATTTCGATTACCTGCCTTGACAATCACTGACCTAGAAGCGACTTATCAGCATGCCGCGCTTTGCGAGGCGTGGGATGCCGAAAGACAGGCGGGAAGAGACGAGGAATTGCAGAACGCCCGAGACGTCAGGAAAGCCGAGTAAGATCTCTGCCCATGAAACAATGTCTCTTCTCATCTCTTTCAGAATACTGCGACGACTGAAAGAGCTTGGATGGGCAGACGAAATTCGTCATCTAGATTTGACGGTATTCGGAGATCATGAGCTGGTGCGCAAGCCCCAACCGTTGACCGAGAGAAGTGCGCCATATGAATTTCCATTGACTGACAAGTCGTACTGACCTCTGCCGATAGTCTGGCGCCGAATTCAAGGCCCGCTGCTGGAGTACTTGGAAGGGGTGAAGACTGAGCGTCTCGCCCAGGAGAAGATGGCGGCACTCTGCTCCCGCCGTGACATACTTGTCGAGGCGTACCGCGAATTCCGTCTGGCCAAGCCCTTCCGGACCGTTCTTCCCGGCCTTGGAGACATCGTCACCATTCAAGAGATCGCCCGCGTTATTGAGAACACCCCTTACGATCAAGTCCTCACCAAATCCGACCTTCGCGCTCTTCTCGATGCTGTTCCGCAGTCATACTTTGATGATTGGCGCGACCGATGCGACACAGCCCTCGTCGGTGTGCTCAATTCCTCACGACGGAAAACATCATGGACAAAAGCCGACCTCAAACTCGCGACCACAGTCTTCGCATACAAGGACGGCTTCTCGAACCTTTCGTATCCGCTTGTGCTCGTATCGGACGACTTGACACGGTTGCCCTGGAACACGAAGCTTGGTCATGACAGTTTGGCCGCTACTTGCAGAGAGACGCCGTGGTCTTCGAAGTTCCTGCGAGCGCCACACCGACATATTGTGAAGGAGCTTGTCGTGCTGGCAGGGCTTGATCCGAAGACAGCGACCCCCGAAGAGATGGACGAGCTGGATCCATGGTACGCCTGTCTGAACCATCCAATCAAGGGACGGCCGTACGCGATGACTTGGCGGTATGCAGTGAGTTGTCTTCTTACGCGTTGAGTCGTCTGCGCAAGCTCACTCTGTCCAGCTCAGTCTAACTGAACGTGACTTGAAGTTCGAGCTCCTCTCCAAAGACGATGCGAACCAGGCTCGCAGTTACGTCGAGGATGTCCTTGGACTCCTTCATGTTGAGAGCATGTGCGTACATTGTCACGCCCGCTTTGCGGCCTCGACGCTGGCCGCCTCCCAGCTTATGGAGCATCTTACCGACGCGTAAGTCGTCAGCTCTTTGCCTGACGTATACACTGACCGAATGCGCAGGCATGGTCGAGCGACATACAGGAAAGGGACTGATTACGCCCTGAGCTTTGACGATGGCAGATACGGGGGCGTCGCCTATCTGCCGTATGCGACGTGAGATCTTCCTTCCCACAATAGATATACTGATGTAATCTGCATTGCAAAACGTATCGAAGCCCGTCTTGTAATTCCCTGGCCGCGAGGCAGGCGCTACGTCGCTATCATTGTCGGGGTTGTACTTCGATCCCTGGCGCGACCGATGTGATTGGGCGCTCCTCAACGTGATGAACTCGACGTCGCGCGAGACACCACCATGAACATCGGGCAGGAGACTAGAGACACCGGAACGAAAGCCGATTTGCAGCTCGCGACTACGGTCCTCTTGACATACCCGTTCGCCTTTGTCTTGCCCGAGCGTATGCATACACTGCGGCCATGAATCGCGGTACGCAGAGCGTCTGCCAGCCGCCGTTTGGACGTGAATCACTCGTCGTGCAGGCGGTTCTGGACCCAGAGACGACGATACCTTCGCAGATGGACGAGGTGGATCCGTGATGTGTGTACCCTAGTGACAGTTCTACTTTGATGCGACGCCACGGTCGTGGCAAGTTTCGTCCCTGCGCGAATGGCTTGCCCGCCGATGTCCTACTAGTACGACATGAGATACATGTGGGGAGCGTGTGCAGCGATACAGCAAGCCGGTGGTCGCGAAAGCGCTGCCTGGCGAACTTTGCACTTCGGATGTATTCTTTAGCGCGTCCAGCACGTTCATTCTTCATCACGCCCAACAGATTCATCTTCGTGTCCATTCCAGCCTTCCCATGTACCGCACCGCAACATAGAGAGCAAAAAGGCGCTGCTCCCAGCCAGGCTCGAACTGGCGACCGTCGCATCATGTTACCCATATAAGTACGAAGCGCTAACCAACTGCGCCATGGGGGCATGGCGTTCGCGGGCCTGGCGTAAGTACCCGTGCGCACACATTGAGATGGCGCGATTCACAGTCGAGGGGAAGGGCAACGACCGGTACCAGTTAGTTGCAACGACGGGTACAAGAGCAACGACAGGTATCAGAACAACGACCGGTATCAGAGGCAGCGTCCTAAAGCAGTGAGCCGCCGAGGCTGTCATGAGCCTATAGAAGGGATAGTCACAGACTGCATAGTTGTCGAGACATCACAACAACAACGAGAGTGAACATAACAATGCATTAAACAGAGCAGACGATGGGATAAATACAGTCATTGTCATCCGCCAAGAACGTAAGTAGTCCATAACTTAGTACAGAGAAAGGTACAATCGAAGTGAGGCGGTAGTCGCATCGAGGGCATGCGAGATCAGTGTGTGGTATGCGCCTCTTGTTCGTAGCAAATCATCAAATTCCTCCCTCTCATCGAACTCCTCCCTCTCATCAAGCTCGTCCCTCTCATCAAGCTCGTCTCTCTCCCTCACGCGAGCTTCGCGAAGCCGACCGCGTTCTGGTCAAAGTCGAAGACGGTGTAGACGTTCTTCATGAACCTGCCGCGATCGTTAGCATCGAAAGCATCCATAACAAACTGAACAAAAACATACGCATCACCGAGCAACCAGGTGTCGTCGCCGAGACCGAGGTCCTGGCCGGCGAGGGACGCAACACAGTCCGAGCTGCCCTGCTCCGTTGTGCCGAGGTTGAAGCTGCCGCAGCGCGTCAGTACGAAGGATTAAGTAGGACGAAGGCGAACTCACTTCTCAGCAGAGATAGCCCAGTCCTTGCCGCCCCAGCTGAAGGAAACCTCCGGTACGGAGTCACAGGGGAACTGGTACAGGCCCTGGGACTCGTCGTAGACGGAGGAGCCGTCGATGCCAGCGAAAATCTTCTTGATGTCGGACGGCGGGCCGTAGGCGACTGTGTCCACGTCAGCCGTTACTTTCAGCAACATGATGCAGTGCACTCACGCGTCGTGCCCGAGTCAATGATCGTGCTGAAGCCCTCGGCCGCGGACGAGCCACCGACCGAGATAGACGCGTCCGAGAGGAGCCAGAAGCCCTCGCTCTGGTCCACATCGTGGTACTCCACGTCTCCCGAGTACAGCTCGTCGTTGCTGCCGCCGAGGTACAGCTCCGAGCCGCTCGACGCCAGGTAGAACCCAAACGCATTGGCGTCCACCGCGCCCTGCGACGCCGCGCTTGTGAACCACGGGTCCTGGTTCAGGTTGCTGATCGCCGGGTACGCGAGCCCCAGGATGCCGTCGATCGGGTCGTCCGAGAAGCTCGAGGAGAGCGTGGTGACGGGCGAGAAGTACTGGTCCGTGACCTTCACGCCCGCGACCTTCACCGTATCCTTGTACACTGGGCCGGAGACCGTGGACTGGTCGCCGTACACGATCTCGAAGCTGCCGCTGGCTTTCTTGCTGGTGGAGGAGGAGCCAGAGTCGTAGCTGTTCTTCTTCTTGCACACGGAGTCCGTGCAGTCGGAGCTGGGGACCCACAGGTCGGAGGAGCCGGCTGCACATAAGAAGTTAGGAGGTGACGAGGAAGCGAAGAAGGAAAGGGGTGCTACGCACTGTCAAAGTCGATGAGGAATTTCTGCGCCGGGGTGCCGATCGTGATGTCGCCCGCCCACTCGGCGTCATTCTCGTCGTCAAGCGACTCGGCCTGGCGCTTGGCGAGCGCGGTCTCGCGGCGCTGGACGAGCTTTGCCTTGATGTCCTCCGGGATCGACGCGATGTCTTTAATGACCGTGCCCTACAATATCACATGTCAGGACTGTACTAAGAAAGCGGAGAGCGAGTAACGCACCTTGCGGAACGCGCCCTCGCCGAGGTTGTTCTTGAGGTTGAGCAGGTTCTGGCGGTGCTTGTTCTGCGTAGCGACGGTGAGCGCGACGGCGCGGTCGTGGTCGAAGACGCCGTTGTCCAGAGTCAAGCCGCTGCGCTTGCGCATGGGGATAGCGCGACCCTCCTTGGGCACGCTAGCCAGGGGCGACGCCGCGGCAGTGAGCGCGAGCGAGACCGTGGCGAGCAGCGAGAAGTAGGCGAACATGGTCGTTGGGCGAGGAGCGTAAGCGGGTGACGGTGAAGACGAGGGGGGATATGGTTGAGGAAATGAAGGCAACGAGGGTGCGCCTTTTATGAACGGCGTCTCCACTGTGGAGCGCGAAGACCAGCGGGCTATTGTTAGACATAATTAGGATGCGCACGCGAGCGCCTCCGGGGAGCACGAGGGCGCGGAAGCGTGCTCCCCGTAGCGACGATGCGGGAGGCTCCAAGACGTCGCGCTTCAGTTGTTGAGACCCGACGCAGAGCCGGGGACGCGCCGGGCGCGGGCTCGCGTCATCGTGCGGGGGAACACGCGCTGCTTCGAGTGGGCTTGTTCCAAGTATAGGGGGTATCGCACTTTGGAAGCGAGAGTGCCATGGACAGGTGGACTGGGAGGGTACTTAGCGCGGGGTGTGGGGATCAGCTTCTGGCTCGGGGGCGGGGATGGCCGTGGGCGTGGGTTATTCGGCCTGGTACAGCGAGGGGAACTGCTTCTTGAAGATGACTGGCGTCGTACGGTATAGTCCAGGGAATGGAATGGAACAATAGCCAAGGCTGTGCTCAGACCAGACGATCGAAGCCTGCGGGGAAGATGAGTCAGGGATTCTCCGTGCATGGTGGCGATCTTGCTCACCGCGGTCGCGTCTCGCGCGCCACTCCACCATCGCATGACGGACTTCGGTTGAGACCACGTCCGGCCCTCTAGAGCGCACATGCAGGAAGCGAAGGCGCAGTCTGTCGGGGGATGGTACGAATAGTCTGCGTGCTACGTGCTCGTATCCAGCATGTGCGAGCATCGTGTCAAGCGCCAGTGGTATCCATTATTAGGGAATAAGGCTCGGAGTACGCGTATCCTTATCTGCAGACCATTTGGCATTGAGAGGCGTTCTTCGGTTGGCAGGCGCACATGCGAGACGACATGGCCGTCGGCGATGATCGTGTCGCAGATGCACCGCGTAACCGAGAAACATTAAACCCGAAGCAGGACATGTCCATATACCCCCACTGTGTCCCACAAAGGATGCATCCAGCAAAGATAAATTCGATGTTTAAGGTGATTCTGAAGGCGAAGGTGTCCGTCGAAGGCAGGCTTGACAACTTCAGCTTCAAGGCGTAAGAAGGCGGGAATCCGGTCCGGCCGCGCCTCCCGCCGGGTGCGCGCGCGCGGTCACGTGCGGTTACGTCGCGTCGCGTCCCGCCTCGCTCTCCTTAAGACGGCTTAACGCTAGTAAGCTGCGAGTGCAATTCCTTGCTTGCTTATGTGCGCACGTATAACTCCCTTGTCGGCTACTTTCCAGCTAGTGGCTTACGCCACGCGACGTGAACCCGAACCGTGCCGCCCGGCTCAAACTCCCTACTAGGGAGTTTGAGCCGGGCCGAAATTCCGTATATAAATTTCCTTTTTGAGTCAAGGAAAATTCCGGTCATGGCCTTGTCCACTGCACTGCGCGCGCATCACGCACGCCGCCGCAGTGTGGCTAGTATGTACACTACAAATAACGCTTTGTGATGCTATGATAGAACTTGCATGGCCGTTGGGGCATCGAGGAGTGCATGTCGAATGCATAGGCCCAGCAAGCGGCCCTCTTACATGTCCATGCTGTGGTCGGTGCATTTTGCGTCCCAGGGGTCGCTTCAGCTGTGCGAAGCAATGGTACTGACATTGCTACTCTGTCACAGGTCATAGGGAGGCAGCATACTGCTCGCAGCCGGGCAAAACGCTCGACGAAGTTTGACACGGGAATTTCCGGTCACATATCCGAATTTTGGATCACGGATTCTGCACTTCACCGCTGTCAGCTTCAAGTCAAAGTTGGCAGAAGCATTTCCGTAGTGTGTATCTCCAGTACTACAAAGTATCTTGGTGAGGCGTCCTGAGATGGGTCCGCAAACCAGAAATTTCTTCTTCAGCGTCACGAATTTCCGTTTCCAGAAACGGCAATTTTGATGGCTCAAACTGCCTACTACTCCTCCATCTCGCTCCCTGGCGGCTGTATCTTCTACGATTACTCTTACACGAGAACGCGGGACAATATCAGCGCGACACGTCTTATCCTTGCTAGCTCTCAGACTCGACTGCCTTCGACGACGCATAAGATGCACGTTCATCTTCGCTGATCCCACGCTGAAGGCGCAGCGGAAGGGCGGGAGGGCGGGGCGAGCACGCGGTAGGGGCGTTGTAGTGGCGCGGGAGGGGCGTTGCAGGAGCGCGTGAGCGTGTTTGTATATTTCGCAGTACTGTGAGATACACTTAGATGCCCCGAGTACAAGCAATCAGAAATACAGAAAATGGCAGAATCCTGTATGATCAAACCGCGAATCCCAGATCCCTCCACTGCGCGCGACACTCGTACCGAGTTGCGTAGTCCTCCACACGTCTCGCCGATAACGCCATGAACTCGTCACTAAACAGGCCCCGGTCAGCCCAAGGCCGCTCATCCATGACCTCCCGCACGCGCGCCTGAATCCCCAGCAGCTCGTCGATGTCCGCCTTGTCCTTCTCCCAGCGCACAAAGTGGTGGCGTTCGAGAGAGCGCTGGTGGTCGTCATACGCCTGCAGTTTCTGGAGAAGGAGCAGGGCGAAGGGGATGACGGGCAACCCTTCGATCCATATTATCTGGGCGGGGGCGAGCGCGGGGAGGTGCAGGATCCCCGGGAGGAGGATGTCGACCTTGCAGGTGAAGCCGCCGGGTTCTGGCCTGCGGTAGTACAGCACTCGGTACGTCGCTCCGGGATTCTTCGATGCCCTGGCGTAGAAATGGACTGGGTCCATGCTGACAAGCGCGCGCTTCAGGGACTCTGGGTCGGGGGCGTACCACATATATCCCGGGAGGACGAGGATGTCGGCGTCCTATGAGATAGATCAGTAGAAACCTCAACGTTCACGCAAGCCGCGCACCTGCGGTGGACGCTCGATGCCATACA